AGTTAGTTTACGACTTAGTGATATTTTTGTTTGACACGCTTCATAATGTTCGAGTTTGATTTGTATGTTAGTGATGTTCTTGTTGTGCTTCATATAGTCTTCCTAGTTCTATGTTTGATTACAAGCATGTGTATATGTGGCTCAACTATTCGTATTTGAATTGAGATTCTGCTATTTTTGGGGTATTTTTCTAAAGATATCACTGACCGGTCAATTGTGAAGTACTGGTTAGTGATGATGTCCTCTAAATTACATTACTAATGCTCCAGCCATCAGTTGTGAGTCAACACAGACCAGTTTTTGGCTGGCTAGTGATGCGGGTTGTGATCACTAAACCGGACGCACTGAATAACCATTTGGCTGATTTAGCAGCATTGTAGTAGTGTACACATCTTGACAACAAGACAAGAGAATGAGTATTCTGATAACAACAGGGGGATGCTATTGAAACTTTGTCTTGGAATGGAGGAGATCATGGAAACAAGCACAATCTATACATCCTCGTTGTCCAAAAATCATAAACAATTTGAAAGGGTATTTTTGCAAAGACTTGCATATTTATGATATAACTCCCAAGAAATGGGATACATCTATGTTACTTGACTAGGTGATGTAAAAAATAAATGAACATACACATGAATAGAGATATTACCCTTGAAGCATGGCCGGGGACAAAGACCGGTGTCTCTCCTGTTGAAAGGCCTACAAGAACGATCAATCCCTAAAGATTCACCACCACAAAGGTTTTACATTGCAACAAAATTTGACATGTCATACAAGAAAAAGATCACACTTAAACAGAAACTGTTTTGAACGACACACACACACACACACACACACGCACACACACACGGTGGTTTTTAGCCAAACAACTCATTTTTCATAACTCACACATACACACATAAACACTTACATATCAAAATTGTACACTGAAATTTTATTTACAAGACAATTTTGTAATGTCATACCATGTCTCTTTACATATAAAAAATAGCAATAGGAAACAATTGCAATGTCATACAATGTTTCTTGACATAGCAAAATTAGCAATGGCATATGCAATTTTGACATATACAAAATTTGCATAGCAAATCTCAATCTCTCTTCTTATATTTATTCTCTCCTCCCTATTTCCTCTTCCCTTTTCTCTCTTCTCTCCTCCCTTTTATCTCTTCTCTTTTCCCTCATCTCTCTTCTCATTTATGAATTCACATTTCATACGAACATGAAAATTTGCAACCAAGCAAAAAAAATGCAACCACTTCACATATATGATGTACGTCACTACCATACAACCATTCATCACCATCACAAATCACAAAAGGCATTAGAAAATTGAAATAAAATTGGCGGCTTACCTTGGGGAAGTGACGACGGTGAGAGTGGCGGGTGGAACCAGGGTGGAAGGCGGATCTCAAACGGCGGTGGAGCTCGGCGACGGGGAGGACGTGTCGAGGGAGGTGGGAGGATCTTGGAAGGCTTTGGCGAGGAAGCTCGGATGGGCCGAAGATAGGAGGATAAGGGGAGAGGAGGTGCGCCGGGGGAAGGAGGGGCCGATGGTTGGCAGGGTTGAGAATTGGAGGCGGTGATGGAAGGTAAGGTCGGGGCGGCGGCGGAGGAGGAGGCAAGGTATAAAGGGGAGCTAGGGTTATATGCGGCGGGTTCAAAATTTGAGGATGAAATGGGTGTGGCTGGAGTTTGGGCCAAGTCGCAGGCCCAAATGTTTGCTTAGTGGCCAAGTAGAAACGCTATGGGAAAATTCCTTTTATTTCTTTTCTTTTTTTCCTTTTATTTCTTTTGTTCTCTTTCTTTTCCTTCTTTCTTTGCTTTGCTTTTCTTTCCTTTTTCTTTCTTTTCCTATCTTTAGTCTCCTCTTTTCTTTCTTTCTGAGTTTCTTTCTTTCTTTCTTTACTTTGCTTTTCTTTCCTTTTATTTATTTATTTTCTTTTCTTTCTTCCATTTTCTTCTTTTCTTCTCTTGTTTTTCTTTCCATGACTCAAACCGATAAACTCCATATTGGCGGTCGAGTATTGCCACCTAGATGTTGGAATTCATTTTCGTTTCTTAGATAAGCCTAATAAAATATGATTTTTCACCCATTTCTACGTCTTTAGTCATCACCTTGAGTAGAAGCAGATGCATTCATTTCCACTCCCTCGGTGCAGACAGACGGTGCCAACACCAAGTCACTACTGCAGGAATGCCTAGCAGTGGCAGGCAAGGCTCTCAGGGGTGCCCGCTACGGACCTCCCGCCACTGCTAAGATGGCATCAATGGCGGGCGAGGGCCTGCCACTGGTTGCACTACTGTAGTGGCGGGTGGGTTGTACCGCCCGCCACGACTATTGTAGCTACCGAGTGATGCATTGGTCTCTGCTCGCCACTGTCGTGCGTAGCAGCATTGGCATGCACCTTTGCCACTCGCTACTGGTAGTGATCTAGGCATATAGAAGAATTGCTGTCGCGACAGCATTATTCTGCTGTCGTGGCAGCATTTTAATGGCATTGTTGCAATAATTTGCACTTGATCATCCCATTGCATTACATATATAGAATATTGTCTTAGCATTCAAACAATCATATTACAATGGTGATACAATAATTAAGAGCATTAATGGAGCAAACATATAGTATAAGAAGTGCAGGGCAACAAATAAAAACATGCATGTCTCAACTCATATAATGAACAACGAATCACGTTGTTTTGAAGAGGTGTATGTATCAACTTGACTATTCGCTCGCAATCGATGACCGCAATATGTCTTCGACTCGGTGAAGTCATTTCTCATCTCGCTCTGGCTCGTAGTGGAACTTTCCGAGCATAATTGGTTTGATGCCGACATTCTGCATTGCCAATATTTGGCAAGCCAACATTTGGCAAAATCAAAAGTCACCAAAATTTGGCAACTTTTTGTGAGATTGACAAGAAAAGTTGGTAGCCAACATTTGACATTTGCCAAATATTGTCATGCCAACTTTTGGCAGCGAACCAATTATGCTCTCCGTCCTCATTTAGAACCTCTTTGTTAATGATTTTGGCCAACACCTTTTGGATGCGCTCATACTCTGTTAATAATTCCCCTATGTCTATGTCCCTCTCCATCTCTTCGGACCACTTGACGATCTGGCTATGTTTTTGCAAATATTTGCTTTTCTTCAAAAAGTCGTATATGATGGCCATGGCACAATAGCAAGACCTATGAGAGGATTTGACATTTGGTTTTCTATAGCAACAAGCGCTAGTGAAGAACTTAATTTCGGAATGCTTTGTTCTCGTCTCGTTGTAGTTCTTACACTTGGCTAGAGCATCATTTAGAACCTTCTTCAATCTAGTCCATTGCTTTTTAGGGTGTCTCGTCGAATCGAAAAAATAAGCCAAGCCCTGCGTCGGCAGTAGCGTGATTACGATCCAATATCGGTCGCTGCGTAAAAAAAGAAGAAATTGGCATTGATGAGGTGAAACCAGAAGGTCATTTATATGTTTCAAAATAAATGAGTGAATGTTAACGACTTACTTGTCACAATATGGCACTAGTAAGGTGTCCTTACATGGATGATTCACAAGCATGCACGGGAACAGTAGTCCAAGATGAGCTCCTACTATTTCCGGTTTCCAGGTTGTGGCAGTGCATGTAAAAAGATCGAGTAAGGACACTTTACGATGCTGGAGTAGGCGATCTGAAGCTCCTTGAAGTACCCAAAGCCTTATTAACTCTGGGGAGACTGCGCTGACAGAGAAGATATTCACATGGATCACCTCATTGAAGACTAGATCAATTTCATCGGCCGGAAACTCTTGGATGAAATCGTAACCTTCTATGACCTTGGCCGTGTATCCATGTTGACCTTGTTTTGATTTATCTACAACATCGGCGTGTAGAAGTTGAAGATCGAGCGACGTTGCTGGGTGGCATTGGGCGTGCACAAGCCTACATGCCAGAGCCTGGCCGAGCCCGCCTGTCGGTGTGTACGCCCCACACCAGGCTCGTCCGGTCACGACAAGCGGTTCATGCGTTGCGATCGCTCCACTGGCCGTATGTTGTGTCCGTCTTAGACGGCTCGTACATGGGGCTAGGCATCCAAGATGCGTACCTGGGCAACCCGGCTCGGCGGTCCATGCCGGGTAGCTCTATGGGTGTTGGTTCGTCCGTGCAAGCATTGTTCTCCGCGAGCTAGACCCAGCCGGCTATGCAGAGGGATGTCCAGCCGTTTGTGCTTGTCTGGGTCTTCTGGCGCTTGTCTGGGTCTATGCAGAGGGATGTCCAGCCGGCTATGTTCGTTATGCATCCAACGAAACTGGTCGGAAACGATCTGCCCGGTTGGAGTTGGCTAACACATTTTTTCACATGCGGGCTACCACATTGTGTTTGACCGCGAGGATGCTCAAAGGACCTATTTGTAATGTTTTCTATGTGCGGTTCGCTCTGTAATGTTTCGTGAACATTTGTCATGTTTTCGTCTTTCTGCTAGTTTTATATGCAGTTGTATTCTGTTTTTTAGTATCCCTATGTAAAGTAATATAAGAGCGTTTAGTTCAGTATTTCTTTACGGAGAGAGTATTAATTAATAATTCAATTAATATAATGTGTGCGGTAAAAAAAGTCCATAGTGATTTTAGCCCCAGCGTGTCTCCTACGTGGGGGGTGTGGATACGAACTCTGCGCGCAGTGCGCCACTCCGCGACCGCCACGTCGCCGGAAGCACGTCGAGGCGGCTGACGTGGCGCCCGGTCGTCGGCCCGCGCCGACCCGCGTGGGCCGACGTCATCCCCGTCGTCGCCGTCGCCGCCTCGTGGCCTCGTGGGGGGAGCGAGAAGAGATAGAGGAGCAGCCCCGGCGCATCTGGATCCGCGCCGCAAAGCCGACTTCTTTCTCCGCCGCACGCATCCTCCACCTCCTCCTCCCGGCGACCACCCCGGGGGCGCTATATCACGCGGCCGCCGCGAGGAGCTGCGCCCCGTCCCTTCTTCTTCCTCGTAGCAGCCTCAGCAGCAGGAGGAAGATGGCGGCGGCGAGGAAGGACGCCGGTGTGCTCGCGCTCTTCGACGTCGACGGCACCCTCACCGCGCCCCGCAAGGAGGTGACGCCGGAGATGCTCGAGTTCATGAAGCGCCTGCGCGAGGTGAGGCCCGAATGTGACCCTGTCTGTCGTTCTCTCGTTTCAGTTTCTTTTCCGTACAATTCTCAGGCGAGATTGCTCACTGTATGTCTGGGTTGTGGCACTCTGGTTTTCTTCCTGGGAGCAGAATGTGACCGTCGGCGTGGTGGGGGGATCCGATCTGGTCAAGATCTCCGAGCAGCTCGGCAAATCAGGTACCCGCCCTGCTTGGATTCAGCAGGACACTCTGCTTGGATTCAGAGTCCCCCCTAACCGCACTCTTTACTCACCTTGTCTGTAACTGTAACTGCAAGACTGAGCTTGATATTTGTTCTCCCCACTGCAGTCATCACCGACTATGACTACGTCTTCTCCGAGAACGGCCTGGTCGCGCACAAGGACGGCAAGCTCATCGGGACGCAAGTAAGTGCCCACGCCGCATAATGCGCGCTGTTTTAGCACAGATGTACAACTGAATTTTGCCTGGTGTTCTTCACTCTGCAGAGCTTGAAAACGTATCTTGGAGATGACCAGCTTAAGGTGAGCCTGTGTTGTGTGACGTTTTTTTTTCTTGTACTGCTGTTGAAGATGAGTTTTGAGGCCTTGGTAGTGATGTTTATGTGTTCTTTGCAGGAATTCATTAACTTCACTCTTCATTACATCGCGGATTTGGATATCCCAATTAAAAGGTCAGTGCGGAATCCTGTTCGAGAATTCCCTCGGACGCTTGCCCTTTACTGACCGGGTAAAGTAAATGTTTCCACAGGGGTACATTCATAGAGTTCAGGAGTGGAATGATCAATGTGTCGCCTATAGGGAGGAACTGTAGTCAAGAAGAACGTGATGATTTTGAGAAGTATGATAAGGTACAGATTGTCTTATAAGAACAAGTAGTTAGTCAATAATCAGAAAGGGGGGATAGCTATTAGAAAAACATGAAACTGAACCGACTCGTTTTGTTTAGGTACATAACGTTCGGCCTAAAATGGTGTCAGTGCTTCGTGAAAAGTTTGCACACCTGAACCTGACCTTTTCTATTGGAGGGCAGATCAGTTTTGATGTAAGTGTTCTGAACTCATAAAAATCTGCTAGAGATCTTCAGTTTGGTATTTACTACTGCATCACTGAATTCAGGTATTCCCACAAGGCTGGGACAAAACCTACTGCTTGAGATATCTGGAAGAATTCAAAGAGATCCATTTCTTTGGGGACAAAACCTACAAGGTAAGATACTTTAGTTGTGCAGTGCTTCCAAGTAAAGAAATCTCCTTTTCTTTTTTTGAAGTACCTTTGTGCACACAAGATGTTGTTTGATAAACTTTTCAAGCCACTGTTAACGACATCCCATTTAATTACTACAGTACAAACTTAGCTGTACTGTATACTACAAACTGAAACTGACATTCGTTTTTCCTCTGATTATATTTAATAGGGTGGCAATGATCATGAGATATTTGAATCTGACAGAACAGTTGGTCATACAGGTATGCTCGTTGTATGTTAAAAGCTATTCTTCTGATGGTTATGAAATCTAGGAGGCATTTATATTTATATAGAGGACATCCCTGAACGAGCAATTTTGCATTGTAAAAAATATCATAGCTTAACAGGAGATTTCTTGAAGGGTTGGTTAATAAGTAAACAGGAGAGACAGAGAGAACCTCTTTGTAGCAAACGATATTATTAGTTGCCAACTGATTCCATATTTGGCATTGTGCTCAACCATGAGGGCAGTATCATTAATATCTAACCACTCTGAATTGTTGATGATCGAGCTGTAGTGGCTGTCAGAAACTACCTTTTCACCATCATATCTAATCATCCGGAGTAGCACCTTTTCAAGTCATATTCGTCCCTGAAGAGTGCACCTCGGGCTGTAACCGAGTAAATAATAGGGCATCAATAGCCCTTCAGAAACATTACACAGCTCCCATTGTAATTTAGTTGCAAAACATTACTCTGTTACTCCGCTTTGTTAGCGAGACTAGAGCTGGTGTCTGGCCCAGTTTTTTAGCCGAGTCCCACCCATGATTTATTTTTCGGGATTTGGTGCTGACTGACCGTTTACATGTGCAGTTACCAGCCCCAATGACACTGTGCAGCAGTGCAAATCCATCTTCCTGTCGGAGTGATCGCCAGACTACCGTGCCGTTTACATTCATTTGTTCACCTGCACCCCTCGAACACTTGCCGTCTCGAAATAATTCCTCTATAGATCTCCCTTTGAACTCAGTACATTTCTTGTGTTCCTCCCCGTTGGGAGTAGCTTATCACTATTGTTGTTGTAAACAGAACTGTATTGGTATACATACATTCACAAGCAGCGGATTTTGTATACGCGCATTGGGCGCAATTGTATGAGGGCATGTTTGATCTAAGATATTTCCTGCTCAGCCCATTTTTCGTTGATTGGTGTGGTGCGTAAGGCCTACATTTTTTCCTAGGAAAGTCTTCTCGCGCATTCTATTGATTATCAAACGGAGTTGCATAGTTCAAAAGCAAAGGCAAGAGGAAACAAACTCTTGGGTTGGTTTATCGACCCAAGTGCAAACTTAAGAATTTACAGAGACTGATTCACAAAAAAATGTTCATTAATTCGGAAAAGTATCCCAGCAAGCCGACATTTTATTTTGGTTTTTCTGCATACCGTCTTTCAATGCTAGTAGGTTTTATTTGAATTTAAAAATATTTATTAATTCGCAAAAGTATTCATGAATTCAAAAACATAAGTGTAGAAAATTTTGAAGAAATAAAAAATACAAGTGTAGAAAATGTTGATAAATTCAAAAAATTGTCACGGATCCAAAATATTTATTGAAAAAATGCTTGTCACTACAAAAAATTGTTCACGAATTCGATAATATGTTTGCGAGTTCAAAAATTGTTCAAAAAAATTGAGAAAGTTTATGAATTCAATTTTTAATGAATTTGAAAATGTACACGGATTTAAAGAATGTCTGTGAAATTGAAATATGTTCGTGTATTCAAAACTTGTTCACAAAATTGAGAAAGTTCTTGAACTAAAAAGCATTCGTGAATTTCAAAAATCATCACGGGTTTTGAAAAAATTATAAATTTTGAAAAAAAATCGCGAATTCAGAAAGTTCATCAATTCAAAAATTGTTGTTCCCAGAATTGTGTGAGTTAGCAAATTCAAAAAAAATGTTCGTGTCATATTTTACAGATTTGTGGCCCAAAAACGGCAGCATGGCCTGAGCCCAGCAAGGCCGCTCCCGTCACTTCCTCTCGTGTCGCTGAAAGAAAGAAAAAGGAAACAGTTCCTCTCCTGCGTCAGAGAGAGAAGCGAGGCGCCGCCGCAGCCAGCGCCGCTCCCCTGCCAGACGTCGCCGATCGGCCGCCCTCCTTCCGCTCGCCGGCTCGCCGCCCTCTCCCCTGTCAGGTGTCGCGGAGACGCCGACGCCAGCTAGCCCGATCCCATCACGGCGCCGGCTGGCCGCGCGGTCCCCTCCCCTCGCCGGCTCGCCTCCAACCCGCAGGGTGCCGTAGCAAGTTAAGCAAGGTACAATTGAACTTCCTGCAGATCTGGGAAGATGAAGCTGAATAAAACTGTTGCATACAGAGCTTCTGCCTATACTGCCATACAGTAGAATTGATGCCAATCCATGTTCATGTCATACCGCCATTGATGCAAATCATGCAATGCTACTTCCTGCTTATATACAACTGAATAACTGACGCCATTGCTTTCAAATCTGCACATTTGGAACATATTTCCTGAACTGAAATGTTTGTGAGACTTGACTGGGCTATTTATGTTATTCTTTAGCCCAATACTGAGCTTATTGCAGCTTAAACTTTCCACAATTTTCTCTCAAGGCTGCATATGTATTTCCCTTTCCTGAACTGTATGCGTTTGCATAAGGATGCATTGTGTGATTGCCAACACCGTTGCTTCATGATTGAAACAGTTTCATTTACTCGTGTGTATCTAGGGTTTCTGCAATGTGTATACCTGTGATTTTGATTATTTAGCATTGCCCTTGCCCTTTGTGGATTCATGCAGCCGTCCTGTTTGACGAAATGTCGGCACCAACATCCATTCCCTGTGGCTCAAAGAGTGTGGGACGCAACAGGAATGGTGTTGACAGGCTCAGCAGCCTGTCCGGCAAAGACTTCGTGGATAATAGCAAGTTGGAGAATTTCATTGATTGCTTGCTGCTCTTGCGCGACTATACCGCTTCCTTGGATGAAGCCCGAATCTCTCCCTGCTGCGTTGATTGTACCAAATGTTCCGTGTGGATTCGTCATGCCATCATGCACAAAGTTCGTGTCCTTGATATTTCTGGACCTCTCAGTTTGGATAAGACAGCAATATTTCCTTCTCAGCACCTGAAAACAATCAGGCTCCAAGCTGCCATGTTGAGACATGGGTTTTTTAGGCCGTTGAACTACGACTGCCCTGTGCTTGAACATTTAGGGCTGAAGTTGTGCACTTTCTGGGGCCATGAGGAGATCTCATCAAGGTCACTCAAGGTTCTGCATATCAGTCAGTGCTACCTCACCCCCAGTCTCCTGATTTGTGCTAGGAACCTTACCAATCTCTCTATCCTTGACACAGACATTGGTGGTATAGTAACTAGGGATCTGTCTTCTCTGGTAACAGCTTCGATTAGTCTAGTATCCAAACATTTTTATCATAGGGACACAGTAGTAGTGGGGCATCATCTACTTGATGGCCTTTCACATGCCACAACGTTGGAGTTGCATGCGCCATTACATGAGGTAAGAACGGGTTCTTTTCTTTTCTTACCCATATGATGAAACATGCCATTTTTGCTATTAGTCTAGGAATGCCTCGTATATGTTGGTATTAAGTTTTCTTTGCAACTCTGTAACATGCTGGTTTCGTGTCTGATGGATGAATTTGAAGCGCGCATTTGAGGGAGGTTTGCCAACATGCCCCATGTTCAGCAATCTGACAAGCTTGGTCCTGGGCGATTGGGTCATGACTGCTGACTTCTACCCACTGCACAGTATTCTCCAGCGCTCGGACAAGCTGAAGGAGCTAACTCTGAAGCTCAAAATGGTACTTGCTCAGAAGTATGTCCAAGTACCTGTTGATCTGCTAGAACTCTTACTGATACTACCTTCATGTTGATATTCTGCAGGAGGAATGCAGCATATGCAAAGCCTTGCCGTCAACAAGGAGAGCGCCGCTGTCAGGCTCAGACAGCCACCCTTGCATCGAGAGGATCAAAATCTACTGCCGGAAAGATCATGCGAGGGTCGGTGAGCTGGTGCAGGCGTTGGTACCGACTGCCTGCAATGCGAAAATCAGCATCGAGCAGCCCTGATCCATGTTAACCAAGACCTCGTTCTCAAAGTTAATTTCTTAAGACAAGAGTGTTTTGTTGACACTGACGTTCCCTGGTCCATGTGTGTGATGGTTGTTGGATCTGAACTGCTTCGTCAATGTAGGCTGGTTGGATGTTGGCACTGGGCGCGTTGATGGATTCTGGACATTGCCTTGTCTGTACAACGGCTGAGAAAATCTTTGGAATGCGAATTTGAGCTTCTGAATTATTAGCAAATTTGCGGTTCCCTGGTTATATTAATTAGCCATTAACTTCCAAAAAATAAACTAGCTAGCTTTTGACTAACAATCTTTCAACTTACATGTGCTGGGGAGAAAAGAGTATGGATATATATGGGCATCTATAAAAAATAATTTGGGCTGTCACCATGTACATTAAAGGATTCTCTCGTGCTTTCAGAAAATGCCAGTTTTTGCTAATACATTACTGATGATAGATGTTTGGATAAGCTTATAGCTTAACAATTACAAATATCAGGTGATTTGTTCTTTAAAAAAAGTGTTTTCACAGATTTTCTTAACAAAAACCAAAATGACACTTCACATTAGAATTTGTCTTTTTTGTTCTTGATGTGCATTTTGAAATTTGACTTGAAATTCTTACAGATTGTAGACATGTGTCTTGCTAACACTCATAATTGTTTGAATTTTTTGAAACATTTAAAAGTGGTTTTAAGAAAATGGTAGCACCTAATGTGTGGTAGACTGGTAGTACAGGGAGCCATGCACTCTGTGTGAATTATAATGTGAAGTGCTAGCTAAGCCTCCTATGCCAGTGCATGCCAACTTTTTTGGAAGGGTAGAAAGATTTTGCCACCCATGATTACAAATTCATTGTCACAAATTACTCATAAGAAATACTCTAGTAAGATAAGAAAAGTCATCATTAAACACTAAGAAAAAAGGTGTAGGCTGAGAAAGAAATGAAAAGGGGACTGAATAGCTCGCTGCAAGAAAACTAAGTTCTGCTTCAACCAGCTTTGCCCTGAGAATAAGACCACCGGGAGCAAGATTCACAGGGCATTTTCAATTGTGAACACCAACACATGAAAGAAAAGCTATTTGAAACTTAAGTCGAGAAATTAGAGTTGTGGTACTACAGACTATGAAACATGATCATTACTTTCTTAATTAGTTGAAGAATAAATGACATGATTTCTGTGCAAAGATCTAGATCTCCAGCCGAGAGCACACAGATTCCCAACACAAAACCAGTATCTTATATGTAGATTTAACTTAAACCTGATGCTCTCTCCTTTCCTGAAAACAGAACAGAACCGAAGTGAAAAAATACACTTGTACAGTGTATTTTTGACGGACGGTGCACCCGTAGCACCATAAGGATTGGTGCAGGCAGTCGGGATAAGTTCAAGTGAATTGCAAAAAACTGCCACATTTCAAGTTCAATTCTGGATTTGCTACCACATTCCTTGGGCGCCCCAAAAATCTACCAGTTTTCTGACTAATTTTCTCAATGAACTCTCATGACTGGTTTGGAGAGGTTTAAACTGATTACTGACAGAAAAGGTCCACCTGTAAGCGCTTGAACTCTTTTTTGAAATCTAGTTTGATGACCGAACTGAACACAGATTTCTTTTAGAAGGGATAGCCAGAAGACCGAATTGAACTCTGTTTTGAAATCTAGCTTGATGACAAGTGCGGGAGCTTTGGTATGGGTGCAACAGTAGAGAATGTCCGTTGTGTTGAGAAAATTTTCAGAGATATTTCTGCCAGAGAGAAAACATGTTTGGTTGGCGTGCACTAGCAGCAGGATTTTCTCATGTGTTTTCGTCCCTGTCGATGAGCGAACCTTGCCATGTTGGACCCAATATGCCACATTTTCTCTCACCTTTTGTCTGATGGTTTTGATAACGATTTTTCGGAGAGAGCTCCACGGCCCGGAGCGAGTGGGCTGCCTCTACGCTGAGGCGGTCCTTTCGGAGTTGGCTTGGTGTGTTCGGTACCATGGTGACCAGTGGTTTCTTCAAGCGGCCCGCCTCCGGTCTTGTCCAGTAGTAGTGGGTGTTATGTGTTAGGGATGGTGTGTCCCGGTTTCCTGTTCGGTGTTGGGTTAGTGGTACGTGTGCCACTAGATCAGTGCCGTTATATTTTTCTTTCGACCTGCTTGTATGAGGGTCTCCTCACCACTATGTATCAGTTTGGCCGTTCGTGCCTTTATTTATAAAGGGGGCAAAAGCTTGTTTCAAGAGTACAGGGTGTGAGAGAGGCTGGTCTTCCTCTAACACATCAAGAATGTTGATGAAAAACTTACAAGTGTTCTCTCCAGTTCTCAGTGTGATAGATAGTTTCGTCATCATTTGAGATGGGTTCTCAAAAATTTAGCACGGAAGCGAGAGATAGAGCGTTGTTTGAACGCTGAAGGGCCAAAGCCCAAGTGCACTGGATTGCGGCTCAGCAGCCCGGCCTTTTGGCCCAGGAGTTTTCAAATTGGAGAAGTGCGGGACGTGGAATCACCGTGCCAACGGAGATTAACTGAGGTATGTGATCGGAGGTACTCCCTCCGTTTCAAAATACTTGACTTCCATTTGTTCAAAAATGGATGTACCTATATACTAAAACATGTCTATATACATCTATATTTTGACAAATGGAAGTCATGTATTATGAAACGGAGGGAGTATATCGTATGAGAGATGAGAGGGATGAGTTTGGGAACAGTTGATACCATGGGAGCTTTATAAAAACTCGATCAATATTTTCTAGTGTTGGAAAAACACACTAGGATAGCCTAACGTCTCCATGGCATTGCCACAACACAAAAGGCTAGCTGGTCATTACCATTGGGAGCCTCGGCCGAGTGAAATATAACAGAAATTGCACCACTGAAATAAAAGAGAGAGAAAATGCTGGTGGATCGTATGCATTATAGTTGTACCCATGCTTCTTAGTTATAGTACTCGTTCCGATGCAGAGGCTGAGGGTGATCCTCCTTTTCTTAAAAAAACCATGCTTCTCATTTATGGTACTCGTTCTTGTGCACATTAAATTTCGAAATACTAGTTTTTATTTTTCTAGTGATCGATAAAATTGAACAAGGATGATAAGCAAGTAGAAAATTGTTGTTGTTATCTTACAACTGCAATACATACGCCATAACATAAGAGTCGAGTCATGGATCATTGCTGTTATCTATATCAGGAGGTATCATAAAAGAATTGAATGGCCGCACTAGCATATCTCTCTTGCGGAAGAACTCTTTTTTGTGATCTGGCTTTCCACAGACAAATTCTGCATCGCTTGGGTGCAAAATATTGGATTCTTCTGGACAAAATGCACATGAGCTGCTAAAGCGGCACAACGGCTTTTCTGTTGACATTATAGAGAGAGAATTAGCTGCAAGTTGCATAATAATATGCTATACTTAAGTGGCTAGCAAACATAGTACGTCCGAATGTAAAGATAAATTTAGGTAGTATCTAAGACGGTGCATGTTTGAACGGCTAGTTGGTGGAACTGTCTATGAAAATATAGCTCGGCGAAGAAGTGCTGCTTCTCGGCGGTGGCGTCCACCGGGCGAGCCGAAAAGCTATGGTGGTACCAGAAAGTTCCTCTAAAACCGACGCAGGCGGCCTTCATCTCCGATGTCGGCTGGGGAGGATACTCATGATACTCGAACTTGGCACCCTACATCGCAGCAATCGATCTCAAATTCTCAATCAGAAGAATTAAGCACTCACCTGGATGTATGAGAGAAAGAGAGAGTATCATACCGGATTGTTGGAGTTGTAATGATGGAGGGCGATGTCGACCAGCGTAGAAATTCGGAAGGCGATGTCCTCTCTGTCGCCAAATAAACAAGTGTACACCAAATAAATAAACATAATCCTTTTCTAAAAGAATAAACATAATGGATGGATGTTTCGTTTGATGGTTGGTTATTCTTATTCAGGGCAACAATCAGACGTTCATCCAGGGAATTAATCTCATATATCTCTTATAGGGTCTAATGTATTTTTCAAGACTGCCTTTGACTATTGACAAGATTAATAGTACATAACATGCATAATGTGAAAATTACATCATTAAAAGCTCCTTTCACATACGAATTTGACGATATGCTTTGTGTAAGTTGCATATCATATATTATTGCTCTAACATTTGATCAAAGTTAGCCTCAGAAAACGCATTAGGTCCTATATAGATGGAAGGAGTAGCAAGAATATAAGAATAGATCCCATGCAAGCAGTTAAGCAAAATTTTGTAAGAAAATTGCCCAGTACGAAGCTAGGAATTACATACTCTTTTTTCACAGTGGAGCGGCCGATGTACTCGTCGGAGTCCCGGAGAGCGTTGGCGTAATCGTAGCTGCCGTCGCCGCCGGCGGCGGCTGGGGAAGAGAATAAGGAACCCACGGATCAATCGATCTCTAGTGTTTGTCCGGTGGCTCTTGGCGGCCGGGCCAAAGTATAAATACAAAGATTTCCCCGTATGTGGTTACCTAAGCCGATCGGGAATAGGAAGACGGAGATAAATAAACAGCCTGCGTTCGCTCGTGTAGGCAGGCAGGCTGGTTGGATCGGAACCGGATCCTCTAACATTAAGAAAGTCACCTAAGTTATAAGGGTGTGTCTAGGACACATCTAGATGTGCTTTAATTATTGCACATCTAAGTGAGTGAATCAAGCATAAAGAGAAAAAAAAAGAAAAAAAAAATATCCACACGAATCTCGACGTAAGATCAATGACATAGGACTTAGATGTGCAATACTTATGGCACATCTAGATGTGCTTTAGCAAAACTGAAGTTACAATACCTTAACTTCCCTCCTTCACATCCATATGACTAAGACTATAATGACTTGAATTAATTTGCAAATCAAAATCTGTTGTATAAATTTACAAAAATTACATACAAACAAAATTACAGTGCAATAAAATTAATTTTATATTTATTTTTGTCAAACAGTAACTACGCACAGTACCTGCTACAGTACATACAGTATTCGCTAAAGTACTCTA